ATTAAAATCAATCATGCTGTTTAGTTCGTCCTAATTTGGATACTTTTGAAATATATTTCATAAGAAATTATTCCTCCCAAACTTGATTAGCTGTTTTTAATAATCCCCATTACTTTTCAATCCTTCAACACATGTAATTTTACTATTTCCTTCTCTCACATCTATTTTTGTTTCAGTAGAATCACAGATCTCAAGATGTAAAATACACATATAGTTCTCCTCTGTGGATATTTAATTCGTCCCTGTTCACATTACATTTATGTGCTCTAGACAATCAAAGATGTATAAATGTCAGTTAAACCACTCTCCTCTCCTCTCCCTCTCTTCTCCCTCTCCTCTCCCTCTCCTCTCCCTCTCTCGTTGCACAATTCCTACTAGTTTAGCTTTACAGATAAGTTATAACTGAAATTCTGAACTTCTTCACACAATTATTTTCACATGCTTTGGTATGAATAACTTACCAATTGTAATTTTTCTTTTTCTACCGAACCTCGTGAAACTTATAACACTAAAGTCTGGGTACATCATCACAGATTCAGTTATGCCTTTAAAAGAGACATTTTCATGACTGGCCATTGTAGTCACACAGCTGTCTAAAATAGTGGAAAGGCTGAAAGTAGAAGGAATCTATTCCTTTTTGTAGTCTCATCCCTCGTTCTCCAATGAAATGGACCTTGTAAGAATAGTCTTGCTCCTGAAAGTCTTGTCAACTACAAATCTTGCCTGACGTGTTTAGGGATTCTTAGTTTTGATAAAAATGTGAGCCTATAATATGTAATAGGCTAAACTCAAAATAAATTCTATTTTCAGAATCAAGGACAACACAGTCATGACACGGTTATTAAAAAAATCACAAAATAAAAATTAAAAGTCTTGAAGCAAAATGGAATTATGAGAAGCACATGAAATGTAAACCGTTAGGCAAGCTTTCATTGCAACAATACTTTCTTTTCTATTTTTCTGACCTTTTCTTATCCATACTTGATAATCTCTAGGTGGTATGAAATATGGTGAAAGCCATAAGATTTAATTGGAATATGATACTGCAGCTGTTAAAATCCTAACTTCCTTCCTTTGTAAAAATGCAATGTAAAGAAGAAAAAAGAGCAACAAAGATTTTTTAAAAACATATCTATCTTCTGTTTCCAGTTCTTGTTGCTGCTTCAAGATAGAAAAACAGACACAGCAAGCATTTAGCAATCTCTTCAGGTGCTGCTGCACTTGTATAAGCATTATGTAGCCTATGACATTGCTTTCTTGTGTCAGATGCAAAACTTCAGTCAACAACTGCTATGGTAGGAGATTTTCAAATAGAATGTTAAAACAGAGATGAATAATGTTGAAACAAATTCATTTACATTTAATTAATTTGTACACTGTAGGATTTTCCATCCTCTCCCTAGGATGGCTGGGAATGCTGCATGGATGAACTCACCAATATCTTTATTACTCTACTAGATGAGAGGGAAGGATTAAAACAAGAAAAGCAAACAAGAAAACTCAGGTTTTCTTTAGTATTTACAGAGGAAAGCAGCCATGTCTGCTCAGGTCATTATTGCTTCTAAAATGTCACTGTATCCTGGAATCATTACAACAGAAGTTGAATTACAAAGGATTTAGATAATACTAGAATCAGAATCAAAAGGCTGAAGGAGATCTTAGGAGGTTATCCAATTCACCTTTGCATCTCCATGGAAAAAAATGGCTCTAGCTCAGTTATTAGTCGGTGCCTTTTATGCCTGTTCTTAAACATCCTCCTGCAGGAAAAAGCCCCTTAACTACATACTTTTGTCCCTCATTGTCATCATCACTAGAAGATCTGTTTAATCTTAGTATATTTTAAATATTTGCTATATATTCTAGCCATTACCTCTTTCTCTAGAAACAGAGAATAGATATTTTCCTCCCTCTTAGCAACAGCCTGTTTGCACTTTGGATTTTCCCCATCAACTCTTTTTTTTTTTTTTTTGTTAAGCTGAGTTTTCTAGATTCTCAATTGCTCTCACAATTCTTTTGGAAGTATTCCTCAAGTACTTCACAATTTTCCTAAAAATGCTGTACCTGGGCTCATACTCAGTTTCATCAAGATTGTTTCGGAAGGCTTGCCCCCAGTTTTTATATTGTATTTTGTATTTGCATTCATTTAGTCTCTTGAACATTGGGTAGGATCATTGCCTGTAGTCCAAGTTCCCATTGTTTGATATCTTCGTTTCCCTACAAAATGCCCCTGAACATCACCACTTCCAATGCTACTCATCTCCCATCAGATCCCTTCCCTATCTGATTGATTCATTAATCCATCTCAACCATCATTTTTCAGCATAATCTGTGGGGCAGGAGCTCTTCTTGCCCAAACATATTCCCTTTGTGTTTAAATTCACAGAATTTGAGTGTGTTGAATGTACTTTTGAGACTAACTTTAAGTCCCATCACTAAACTCTGTCCCTTGGTGCCATGTTCATATATCTTTTAAAATACTTTTACTGATGGGGACCCCATCACTTTCCTGAGTAGCCATGTGCAAAACTCTCATGTCCAATATAAACCTAACCTGCAACTGTTTCCGCACATCTGATCTCTTGTCACCAGAAAAAAAAGAGACCACCTATCAGATAGTTGTAGAGAGCAATAAAGCCTCCCTCAATCTCTTCCAGAGTAAACAACCCTAGCTCCCTCAGCCACTCCTTATATGTCTTGTTTTTCAGTCCCCTCACCAGCAATGTCCTTTCTGTAGTGAGAGGCCTAAAACTGGACACAATACTCAGTGGGCCATCTCAGTAGTGATGAAAACTATACACATATCCAAGCCATGAGCAGCTAGAAAAATATCGTGAGAAATGGTGACAGAAGCTTTACTAAAATCCACATAGACAATATTCACACTCTTTCCCCCATTTTCTAAGCAGGTCATTTTGCCATAAGAGATGAGGTCATAGAGGGAGACCACATGACTCAGGCACAGAATCACAGAATCACCAAGACTGGAAAAGACCTACAAGATGATCCAGTCCTACTATCCACCTGTCACCAACAGTACTCACTAAACCATGTCCCTCAACACAATGTCCAAACGTTCTTCGAACACCTCCAGGGTCGGTGACTCCACCACCTCCCTAGGCAGCCCATTCCAGTGCCTGACCACCCTTTCTGAAAAGTAGTATTTTCTAATGTCCAGCCTGAATCTCCCCTGGCACAGCTTGAAGCCATTCCCTGTAGTCCTATCGCTAGATATACAAGAGAAGAGGCCGACCCCCAGCTTACTACAACCTCCCTTAAGGAAGTTATAGAGAGCAATGAGGTCTCCCCTGAGCCTCCTCTTCTCCAGACTGAACATTCCCAGCTCCTTCAGCCTCTCCTCATAAGCCCTGTGCTCCAGACCCCTCACCAGCTTTGCTGCCCTTCTTTGAACACGTTCCAGGGCCTCAATGTCTTTCTTGTAATGAGGAGCCCCAAAGTGGACACAGAACTTGAGGTGCGGCCTCACCAGTGCTGAATACAGGGGGACAATCACTTCCCTGCTCCTGCTTGCAACACCGTTCCTGATGCAAGCCAGGATGCCCTTGGCCTTCTTGGCCACCTGGGCACACTGCTGGCCCATGTTCAGCTGAGCATCAATCAATACCCCCAGGTCCATTTCCTCTACAGTCTTCCAGCCACACCACCCCAAGCCTGTAGCGTTGCCTGGGGTTGTTGTGGCCAAAGTGCAGGACCCAGCATTTGGTTTTGTTGATCCTCATCCCATTGGCTTCAGCCCAGCTCTCCAGCCTGTCCATATCCCTCTGTAGGGCCTTGCTACCCCCAGGCAGATCCACACTTCCAGCCAACTTGGTGCCATCTGCAAAATTACTGAGGGTGCACTCAATGCCATCATCCAGGTCATGAGTAAAGATATTGAAGAGGACAGGCCCCAGCACCGACCCCTGGAGTACTTCACTCATGACCGATCACCAGCTAGATTTAGCTCCATTCACTACTTTCTGGGCTCAGCCCTCCAGCCAGTTCCTTACCCAGCCAACAGTGTATCTCTCCAAGCCATGGGCTGCCAGCTTCTGCAGGACCTGCCTCTCATAATCAGAGTTGAAGATGCAGTCTGTCACTGTTTCTTCTGCTTAGTACCAGCTGTCTCTCACTTTATTATCTCACATTACAACCTTTGCTCACTCTCTTTGATAATACCTACACTTAATATTAACAGATGTTTATAAAACATAATTGCAGTTAACTTCTTAATACTGAGATCTCTGTTATTTGCCAAAAGAAATACTCATTTTCTTGATGAAAGTAATAAAGCATAGATATAATTTCTGTGAAAGTCCATCTAACATCTGGCATCCTATAAGTTGTGAAACATTCTGATTTCAAACATAGTCATACAAGAGCACAGTAGTTAATTTTTTCTCTCTTTTTTTTGCCATTGCTACTGCCATTGCCATTGTCAGCAAGAGCATATGTAAAATAACACACGTGTTTCACCTTTAAAATATTTTATCTTAATGTTTTAATTTAGAGCCTTCTCCTGAGAAACCACATATATAAAGAAACTGGTTCATTCTTCAGAGCAAAAGAAAAATTTAAGCAAATATTTTTAGATCCTTACCACAAACTCTGCGTTAAAAGAAGTACTGTATAAAGATCACAGACAGTAAAAGCTAATTTTTTTTCCGTATTTTGTAAATGTGAGTCAATCTTCTTCTAACCAGAGTATGGTTAAGCTCCATAAATTTAAAAGAGCAGTAAGACACAGATTTTTTTTACTGTTCTCAGATGAAGCCTAAGGAGCCCATTCTGACGTGTTTTTCTATCTGGTTTTGACACATACTCTGGGAAATAATGCACTGGATTCCACATGGAAGCTATTTCAGAGAAATGAAAAATACAGAAACGAAAAGAAACGAAAAGAAATGAAAAGAAACGAAAAGAAACGAAAAGAAACGAAAAGGAAAGGAAAGAAGGAAAGAGAAAGAGAGGGAGAGAAAGACAAAACAGAGTGGAAAAGGTACCTTTTTACAACATCTTCTCCATTCCAACATGGCAGACCATCAACAGCTGCCAACTTATTACCACACAGCTGATCAGCCAGGCCACCATATAAAGGCTCTGTAGAGGCAAAGGTGGCTGATAAATTCTCTGCATAGAGGAAAATGGAAGCAATTGACCGTGTCAATCAACAGTATTATGCACTACTGCAGTTGTGCATTTCTACAAGAAGATATAGAATGTGCTTTTTCTAATATTGTCTCTTGCTTCCAATGATTTTTTTAGCCAGTTTTCTGTTACCTAAGTTTGATTCCCTCAGATACATTTCAGTAGTTAACAGCGTTGATACTTGCATTTGTGAAAATTAAACAAAACAATTTGTTCATGCTCTGGAACTGGAATTATTTTCCTCCACTCTGAAATTTTCTTGTATAGTTCTAATACAGCTTGCACTGATACACTCGTAGAAATATGCTTTTTTTTTTTTTTTGCATAGCAAATTAAAAAAAAAAGGGGGTTATTGTCATCTGTTTTTCAGCACTATCAATCTGTCACAATCCAGTTTTACAAGTAATAGAGAGAGTACTGATTAGAGTTATGGAGCAATTCAAGATTTATGTAAGATGAGTTTAAGATGTAGACATTAAATATTTAGAAGATATTTAAATTACTGTCTGAAAAATGACATTAATTTTATCACCCTATGCTGCTAAGCTATAAATTATGTATTGCTATTTTGAATAATTGCCAAGATGCCCAGAGCTTATGGTAAGCTTTTATAATGAAATCAAAACAAATTAGTGTTGTTTTTTTTTTTTAGTTAGTATATTTGTAACTGAATTGTGATATTTATGTTTATAATTTGTTTGCTTATTTATTGAAAATCTCTTCCTGGGAGACCAATTCCTGCTGTGAAAAATTAAAATATTTATTTATTCTGGTTTAGAATATCGCAGTATACTGAGTTATCTATGACCTACAGGCACAAAGGAGAGTGGTGCCAACAAATTCTGTACTCTGTTCTATAAATCCACAATCTTCAGTTCATTTTACGTTATTGAATGGTGTTTGGAGTTGTAAAAAAATTTTTTAAGTTCTAGACATTTCCCAACGTTTAGTTATCTTAGATCTAAAATAGCATAAGGAATTCAATTCTTAGCTTTTGTTCACTAAAAACTAACAGTGGTAAAACATGAGTATTAGATGCAGTCTATCACTAGAATAGCAGAATACACGAAGCATAGGGATTCATAACTACTATAACTATTTAATGCAAGTTGTTTGCATTAGCATATCTAAAACTGCAGTTCTGAAAATATCAGGTAGAGTTGTTTTTGACTGCATCATAAAAAAACTGCATATGTGCAACGTATTTTAAATACATAAATATGATTCATCTGTGCTCCTCCAACCATGGATAGTTACAACCTGTACTTTTCTGTCCGCAAAGTTGCATTTTCCATTTTACACTGAGTATGACTGCTTTTAACTATGTGTTGGGCTTATGTTCTGGATGAAAATTAGGAATTAGAGTCTTCTCACAGAAAATAGCTGGAATTTCTTTTGTACAGTCAATCAATCCAATCAACTCCATACAGAAATGGAAATAAATTAGCTGCTATAATGTCTTATGACAAACTGCATTCTAACAGAAAAGTCAATTATTCAGTTTATTAGCAAACACAACCTGAAGAAAAGATGAAGTTAATATATAAGTAATAACTGATTTCAACCCCTGTAGATGTCTGACCGAAGTAGTTAGAAGGGCAGATGGTCTGAATGTGAATTTTCACATCATCTTCTAGATCAGACAGCATGTAATTACAGGCAGTTGAGCACAAATATGCAATTATAGTCAGTGGAAGCTACTAATATTTCTCGTCTATTTATTTGGAAATGTTCTTTTTTGTTTGTTTGTTTGCTTACAGTTTCACTCTCCTTGCTAAAACCTAGCTAGGTTTTGGAGGAGAAAATATGGCATATTTTTAATATTGTATGTTATTCCGTAAGGTTCATCTGACAATTCCTACAGTCAGAAGCAAAGTGGAATTTTTTTTCCTTCATGTACCACACAGTGTTAGAAATTATCTGCTTGGGATGCTGAAGTTCAAACTGTCTGATAGTGAAAATAATTTAGGAAAAGGTCAGACAGTGATAGTCCAACACATACTTCAAAATATAAATTTTCATCTGCAGCTGGACATGAAGAAATTAGTGAACATTTCATGGAGTCCTTCCGTTCATTTCCTTTTCTTACAATCATTGCCATTGATCAAGTCTGCACCATTTGGGAGAAACCTGTTCTTTCCTGCTGAACTTGTGAATGTGGCTGGGAGATATACAGCAGGTAAATAAAGTGGTTGAATGGGAGAACTGTGCTTCCTTAAAAGCAAGCTGTAAGCAATTGCTGAAGTTGCTCTTCTCCTTGAGGAATTGTTAGAGTTGCCATGGGAATATAAAGAAAAACATAAAGTGATTATGACAAATAAGGAAGGAGATGATCCAGGAGGTAGCAAGTGAAGGTGAAGTGAACTATATAGTTGCTAATCTGAAATATGTGCCAGTGGATTTTGAAATCACTTCCCTGTGCCCCTCCTCCCTCCCAGCTTCACTGTTTTTTACTGTCCGCTCCTCTGATGTCCCTTAAGTTCCCCATAAGGTCAGCTCAGACACCACATTTTTACATCATGTAACAGTCCCAGATGAAGTCAGATGTTAGAATACAATTTTATATTTTCAGTGTGCTAGCAACAGGTAAACATCAACCGCTTAGCCACAAAAAAAGTGCCTGTGGAATAGATATTGACTGATGAAATTCTGTGCCAGTCAAAGCAAACTTCTCTTTTGCATCTCTTTCCCTTCATTATTTCATGCCATTCCTTTGAATATAATCTATTCTGTTGTAAAATGAATGGCTTACTTTATTCTTTCTTTCTGGCTGTAAAACTGATGTCTTACTTTCTTCTGCTGGCAAGGGTTTCCTCACTGTCTCTTGAGAACATCTTCAGCCCCTGGTTATATTTGTTCTGATCAAAAGAGCAATGCAGAGACCGTGTAGGCTTCTTTACAAGTGGGCCACATACCTTGTTCACTTAAAAGGAAAACAGACATTTAAGAAATGAAAAATAAAAGTATTAAAAATATATATGTTAAAGAACATATGTAAGAATTTTATTTATTTATTTATTTATTTGGTATCTCTTTATTCTGTTTAAGTCCATTTTAACATGAAAATCTGTGGACACATCATGAAGATTAGCTAAGAAAAATATCATTAATTATCATAATTGTCAACACTGTGCCCACAGAGAAGGCAGAAAACACACAATTGTATTTCATTTTGTTGTATAAGAAAAATATAAATGAAATCACTCCTTTTGAAGGAATACAAGATGAATAAGCAAGTTACAAAATGTGTTTTATTGATGGTGGCTGTCAAGAAAATGTACAGCTATGCAGACAGTAGCAGTAACCTCAAAGATCAAGACATGTAATGAACAGCAGCATATTTCCATTTTTCAGTAATAAACTCCAATCATATTTTTAAATATGCATTGAACTCTGTGATTTCTTACGGAGTTGATGAATTATTATGGCATGTTCAGCACAGTTACTCAGAGCATACAGTGAACATTTAGCATGATGGAAACTTGCATTACAACTTTGGAAGATGTAAATTTAATGATCTGAGATGCATGTTTAATGATTCAGACCATAGACACTGAAAACGCTAACTGATTTTTTATGTCTGGTTTTCTGATCTACATTTCAGTACATATGAATTCACATGAACTTTTAAATGTGATACTGAGCATTTTCTGCTATGAAGGATATCAATCCATGTTCATAGCTCATTATTCTTCCTAGTCACTGAAGAAAAGTAATTAATGCCATACCTACTTGTTAAATAAGAGATACTTCATGCTGAGGATCACATCAGGCAAGATATTAAGCAGACAAAACAGTACATATCTTGTTTGCCTGCTCTACTGAAAAACTAATACTGTATGTGATTTATTAAACTTTGATTTCAATACATAGTCAACCTCATTAAAAGAAAAAGGAAGACAGAAGAATTCAGGGCTGATTTAAAATAAAATGTCACTATCTTTTACTTTGACTGAAATGAACATATAAAGAAAACCAGAAGTTTTTATGGCCACAATGCCTGGTATGGACAAAGCCCATTTTATAGATTATATGGTTACTTCAAAATGCTATCTAATAACTGTTGGGCTGAGAGTGATAAGACAACGGGGAATGGTTAGATACTAGGAGGATGTTTTTCACTCAGAGGGTGGTGACACACTGGAACAGGTTGCCAAAGAGGTTGTGGATGCCCCATCCCTAAAAGCATTCAAGGCCAGGCTGGATGTGGCTCTGGGCAGCCTGATCTAGTTGTTGGTAACCCTTCCCATGGCAGGGGAGTTGAAACTACATGATCTCTTTGTTGTCTTTTTCAACCAAGACCATTCTATGAATCTATTATTCATTCTCTTTGAGTGAATGTCTCAAGAAATGCTTTGTGAATTTTGCATTCACTGATACATTTACAAGTAAACCTTAGTTTCAAATATAAAATCTTTCTTAAAAAGTAATCTTAATCTTAATTTTTATTTATTTATATTTTTTTCCCCAAAAAGATCTGTATGGAAAATTCTGAAAACAGCATTAGTTAAATTGTGAAAAGTACTTATAAGCACCACACACACGCCTCTGCCATTACCAAAAAGTACACAGTGTACTCATAATGCTAAGAGCTGTTCTGTTGGTATCAACATCTCTCACAGCTGGAAGTTACCTCAGTAACCTTTAGCAAAGTCACTTACTTCTTTGGATATTGTTTCTGCAAGAGGAGCATGTACAAGCAGGATGAGCATGTACAAGCAGGTACTCTGATGATGTAATTGTCTATTATAATTCCCTATAATATATCTCTTATATTTAAAGCCTTGGAAACACTGCCTGCCTGTGTGGCTGACTAGTGTGGTGTCAGTTACTTCTTGTTAAGTGCAGCACACAGTATCATTCACCCATCTGTCTTTTTTTAAGTGCTCACCATTGGCTGTCATTTTTGTGTCATATTCAAGACACTAACTGTACACGAGTGGCAAATGGACTTCAGCCTTCCTCACAGGCGCAGTGTCTTCAGTGAGCTGCTGTTGTGTCCATGAAAAGGTCATACAGTATTACCTTGCCTTCAGGTGCCCACTGTGTCTGTGAACCAAATATTTCAAAACTGAAATGTCAGACTTTCATGTCCCAGTAGAAAGCTGATGATACACTAATAAATAAATAAATCTAATAAAGTATAATAATGTCTATAATATTTAATAAATGTCTACTTATTTTGAAGATGCGTTCTTCAAGTCTCCAGAATGAGTACATGGCACAAGTATAAGTCCACTTAGTTTATTTCCACTGCTTTCAGGAAAACTATAACATCCATTTGACACGTTGTTTCAGTCTTTGGGCTGCAAAGTTAACCATCCTAGCAAAAAAAAATAAAATAAAATTTAAAAAAAATCACCCAAAATCATCCAGTGCTATTACTGCCATTCTTCAGAGACAAAGACAGGAATAACTTTGAGAGAAAGGGAGTGCATTCACTACATGAATGATCATTTTGCAGCAATATCTGATCAGAATGTATTCTTATCATCTGCCACTTCCACTGAAACATTTCCACAAAAGGAGCATTTCCTGACCTCAAAAAATAAAATAAAATAAAATAAAATAAAATAAAATAAAATAAAATAAAATAATGTAAAATAAAATAATATAAAATAAAATAAAAATAAAAAATTTACAGTATAAAATGATTCTCAGAGGGAACTGAAAATACCCTGAGGGAAGTGAGACTGAAAAAAAATGCCTCAAAATATTATTCAAAAGAGAATTACAAATCTTATTGAATTTCAGGAAGAACTAAAAACTGCTGCAATATTTTAAAACAGACAAGCCCATGCAATTTACTGATTGCTTTCTTTCCCCCTCCTTTGGTCAAATGTTATCAAAAAATACTGAACAATATGTAAAGGCTTAAAAGGAAATCTCAGAAAATTATGGAACTCCTGATTTTCACAGTTCAGACAAACCTATTGTCATTATACTTAGCATGCTGTTATTATGCACAATTTGTACGCTACAGTGTGATGACTGGGTTAATTAAAAGCTCTTATAATAACCATGCAGTTAAATTGCAATTAGTGCCACCCATGAACTTTATGGCAGTTTGACTTTGCGTGGTGCAATTCAGTAGAACATCTCTGGCTACACATCATTGGGAAAACTTGAATATCATAAACCTTTGCATTTGAAGAGGACTGGACAATGATGTGAGCATTGTATCAGTAACAGTGAGACACTGTTCTCTAGGTTGGTGCCTTCAACAGGGCAAATCAGTCACATTCTTCAAGACTTTTTACCACTTCAATAATGTTTATTTCTGACTTCATCATTCATAGTGAAATTATCTCATTTCTTCATTGATTCTGAAATGTGATTATCACTCCTTTAATTTAAATTTAGATTTAAATCACTCATTTAATTTAAAGAGTGAAATAAAAGTAACATATGCAAAACTGGAAGCAAGCAGGAATTTGACTGAATGAGAGAAGATTGCTGAGTGAAAGCAATCACAAACAGTCCTGCAGAAGACAGAGGTGCTGTACAGGTAGATTTGGACTTGATAAGTATCATGACTCCCTACAAATATGAAGGAAGATTGAAAAAAGAAGGTATGCACACAAGCACACAAGTACTTATGTACATATGTGTGTGTGTGTGCAATTATGTATGCGTATATATCCATGGGTGAACACAGATATTCACAGAAATGCTTTTTTCCATTGCATCCATATGCACAAGAAAAGAAAATAATTAGAGACAAAAAGATGAACAGATCTATCTGATCTAAATAATCTAAGATGCTAACACACATGAGCTTGGTATTCACTAGTGGCAGTGACACAGTACTGACACCATGGTACTGATAAAGATGACGTGCCGTCCCATTTAGGTTTATGTGTACAGCATTGGGACACAGAGAGGTGCTACAAGTACACTACATTAGGTACCAGAACTGGTCTATCTCCCAGATGCAGGAGTTCACACCAGCTCCAGGCCAGCAGAAAAGTTTGGCAGTGACAGTACTGAAACAAACTGAACGCACAGTGCTCTGGCATACTCCAAATCAGACAACACTAAGTCACAGTGGTTAACTGTGCCATATCTTTAAACCATTCCACCATGCCAGAAATAGGCCTCAGGAATCCTGAGATCTGCTGCTCCAGTTTTGGTCACAGGCTGTTGCAAAATACTCTGAAAAGATGAGCATCTTCTAGTTGTGCAATGTGCCTGTAGTTTGTTTTCACCAGTTCTTATGTATGTACCTAGAATGAGAAGGAAGAAAACACTTCTGCATACAAAACCCCCATGGCTTAGACTCAGCTGTAGCAGGGAATCAGGACCAGGAGTCTGAAAATTGCCCTTTATTTGACACCTGATTTTTTCATGTCTGTGCACTTATGTAAGTTTTTGTGAACATGTGTGTAAGCTTTTGATAAATATAATTCAAGGATTTCCTGTTAATGTTTCCCATTCACTGGACTAGAACACAGTCTCTCAGACTGTAAGGTACTAGAGAGGTTGTAGTTCATGTACGAACATAAAACTAATTTTCTTTCATGCATATTTCAGTTACTGATCAGTCTGATGGCCTTCAGATGTAGCTATCAGAAATTTGCCACCATCCCTTGAATTCCCTTGAATACTGGTGAAAAAATGGACAGAAGTCCAATGGCTCTAACTGTTTGAAAATATGTTCTTTAAAAAAAAAAAAAAAAAAAAAAAAAGCTATTAAATGGGCTATAGTTGGTTCCCTGGGAATGAACAAGTGCATATGTTCCTTGAGAAACAGATTCTTGAAGTAACAAGTGTTTCCAGCAACTTCAAACTAGTCAAAATTTATCCAGAACCACAAGTCATCACGTCTACAACATTTCCTGATTCAGATTCAAAACTTGGAAAGAGATGTGTGATACTTTCAGGTAGATAGATGGCTGCATGTCAGTCAGAGAAGCTTAGTAA